ACCGAACCGAAAACAGTGACCACGAAACCGTGAACCGAACCGAATCGTGAATTTTGTGAACCGTTCCACCCCTAATATATACATACATCTGACATCCTGATGATGCGTCAATTTTTTTTCCATTAATCGATTACTAATGGAGTAATCAAAGGTTCCTTAAAGAAGATTTTTTACTAAATTAAACCAGGGGGAAACTAAAACGATTCCACTTGAGGAGTTCTGTATAGAGCATATTGACAGACACATTTTTTTTTATATCTTAAATTTTTAAATATTATATTACCAATATTTTAAATATATATATATATATATTTTTTACAATTTTGATATAATTACTACTCTAAGTGGGTCGCTCTGTCAGCTAAAGGCATGTTTTAGAATATATATTCTCCAGTTAATGATTAATTGATTCCAAAATAAGTTGATTATTTCAATAACCAATTAATCATGATTAATCCGATTAATTGTTTCAGTCCTGACATAGATAGTCACTCAAAAGAATATATAAAAAAACACACACACACACACAGGGGAAACATATAAAGCAACAGGCATTGTGTGCTTTCATACATTGGAAAAATGGTCTACAAATAAGTAAAAATGTCTTAAATTAAGTGTATTTACCTTACTTTGAGTAGGTAAATGAGATGAGTTTGCCAATGGAATGAGTATTTTTACTCTTAAAATAAGATAAATAGATAATATGCACTTGTAGTAAGACAATGCATTTGCTTTTTCCTTATTTTAAATGTAAATTGTTTTGTTCCATTGGCAAACTGTCTCACTTACCTCCCCAATTCAAGAACAGATGCACTTAGTTTAAGAAAAAGAGATAAAATTTAGATTTCAATTGTTAGCAGTGTAGGTTGCAATAAGCACGCATCTCGCTCTCTTGTCTAAAAGTCATTTTTTGCAGCTTTGTTTAGAGAAATCGTACCTGAAGGTCTGGCCTCGATGACATATCGTGTTATAGGAGCCCGTCCTGGGTCACCTCCCGTCCAGTGGATCGTCAGGCCTGAACCGTAACGTGTAATAAAAGGTTCTCCAGGGGGTCCTGGGGCTCCTGAGGAGAATGAGTATTAGAAGTAGTTATGAGGAGACTGTGTTGTTTTCTATTAGCAAATAAATTCAGTTAATTTAAACTCAACCCAAATGAAATCTAAAGACACATTTTTAGATTCTTAAATAAATTTTTTTTTATAATAAATATTGTTTACTTTAATACATCTGCCTGTTTTTTAACCAGTTTTATCAAACATACAGTTCCTGTGTTGCCGTCTACACAAAATGTAATGTATCGCGCCATCAATTATTTCAGAGTCTGATATCTTCATAAATAATACAAAATGAAGAGACCAAACTGGCACCAAGCAGAGGGATATGTATGAATAGCCACACAGACATTAATTGATTGTAAAATAAATTGCAGGAAAATAAACGACCAACTCATAAATAATTAAATGAGGTGTAAAATACTTTTCCATTTCCATTTAGTTCAGCTGCTACGACACGTCTCTGCGGTGGCAGATCAATGGAGACATAAATTTGCTTGTGGAGCAGCTGTGCTCCCAGCAGACATTAGCACACGTGTCCATTAAGAGCTTCTCACCTTATTCAGGACTCCAGCTGAAAGCTAGCCAAAGCAAACTGGGATCAACTTAAATAAACAACTTCAAAGCAGGTCTAATATGATATTGAATTTCACATCAAATTAACTTTAAAACAATATTTTAATAAACTAAATATAAATGATAGAAAATGAACTCTATTGATCTCAGAATAAAGTTCAATTTTTACCAATTAAATTTGCATTGTGAGATTTTATTGATCTAACAAAGGCTGGTCAGTGGGGCAGTGGGTAGTAGGGGTGTAAATAATAATCGTTTTGTATCGATGCATCGATCCAACAGCCGACAATCCGATGCATCTATACGTCCGCAAGAGTATCGATTCATGTTTTTTTCCCCCCTCCGGTGTAGGTACCAGATTGACTCGGGGGCCTGCGCCTTTTGATGACGTCATAATATGGCAACTCCGCCCGTCACTATATGGCAATGCCCCTCGTAACAATATGGTAACTCCACTGAAACAAACTACATTGCGCCCACGGTCTCTATTTATTCTCGTTACAAATGCAGACCGC